GATTACATTGCTCAAAAAACAGAGTACTGCTTATTAGTTGACAGGGCACTTTATTCAGGTTGACGCTAGTTAAACCACTTGATCTGCAAGTACTTGGCAAACACACATAAGCACACCCAAAGCCCACTCATGCATCTTTTAGCATCGTACTCTCCCTCAGAACAAATAAGGCCTTCCCAACACCCAACTTTTAGCAGTCTGCTGACTCTACCATTTTGGGCATTTCCCATAAAGAAAAAAAGCACTGGACACATCCTTAGCAGGTGGCCAGATGTTCTGAGGTTCCTGCTAGACTGACATCAAACAGAACACAGAAACTGATCCTCCTCCCATCTTTTGACCTGAAGGGAGAGACAGGCTTTGCTTCAGCTGCTCCAATGACTCCTATATGGAAGATCTGAAAAGGGCTGTTCACCTTCCCCAGGGGTGGGTGGACATCAAAGAAGAAGGTCCGGTTAATGTAGTAACTTCCCATCTTGCCAAAATGAGTTTCATCCCAACTAGAAAAAGAACAGAAAGATGTGCTCAGGAAGTGAAGGTAACCCAACACCCAGAGATGTCTTCTACTAGTGGCTAAATATTGTTATCTCTAAACTAGACTGGCAACACTCTGTACATGGGAGCACACAGTAAACCCAAAAATAAACTGAAACTGGTGGAAAACATGTTAAGATTACTTATTTAATAAGTTCTCTCACCATAAATATGGCATAAATTCTGTGCAATGTTCTTCACAAATACGACATCCAAGACCTGCCTAGTCTTTCAAAAGCTTAAAGGTTTTTTGGCCTTTTACTAACAGGCTGCCCACATGAGATACAGCACCCTTCCAGTACCATATTGACACAGTAGAGAGCAGCAGAAAGTGCCCAGTATGAGTCCACTCAATCTATAAGAGAGTGTTTGCCATGCAGATTTCTCAGTATTGGAAGCCCCCTCATCAGGAGGGTTATGTGGTCCTTCCAGGCTTTCAGCAAAGCTCCGTAGTACAAGCCCAGGGATGGGGTGGCTTTGGAAATTAGGTTTCTGAAGGGGAACATGACGAGTCAAAAATGTTGATCTGCAATTCACTTGTTGACTGGTTTGCATAACAGAAACGAAAATGTGCTGCTGCTGCCATTTAATTTTTCTAATGATTGTTGCAATGTATTTTTATTAACTGGAAAGGCACCTGCAGCCCAGGAGTCATCTTTATACTGTTATATTTATGCTAGTAGAGGGTAACAAGTGTCAGAGTATAGCAGGAGTGGGCAATTATTTCAGGCGGAGGGCCACTTACCCAGTTTTGGCAAGCTGTTGAGGGCCACGTGGGTAGCCCCACCCCTTGACAGGTGCCCCGGCCTCCGGGCTGTCCAGTGCACGGCCTCCGGGCAGGCAGCAGCAGCAAACACTGCCTGGCGCGGCAAGCTGGGGAAGCCACAGCTGCTGCTGCCACAGAGCAGCCCTGACAGGCGAGCCTGGAGACAGCGCAGGGTGCAGGCCGGCAGCGGGGGCAGGTTACAAGCTGGTGCTAAGCACAGGGGAAGGGGGTGGGAAGTAGCCCCTCCCCTGCCCTGGGGCCAGAGCCCCACACTGCAGCCGCTCACAGCCTGCCTGGGGCTGCCTGTGCCTGCTCTGGACAGCCTGGTGTGAGCTGTGAGCGGCTGCAGTGGGGAGTGCCGGCTACGGGGCAGGGGAGGGGCCATTTTTCCCCACACTCAGGTTTTCCCCAGGGTCCGGCCCCCAACTTACCTGAGTTTCTGGCATGGGGGTAGCCAAGTGGTCCCAGGCAAGAAGACTGGGGGGGCGGAGGGGCTGCCAGGCTTCCCCTGGGTCCTACTACCCCTGATTCTTGTCATTTTTTACATGAACCAAAGACAGATAAATATTAATTTTCTTAATTTTTTTAGGGGCCCCACGGGTCAGATAGAACGGCCTTGCGGGCCAGATCTGGCCCCTGGGCTGTATTTTGCCTACCCCTGCACTATAGCCATGATGTCCAGGAAATCTGCAAGAGGCCAGAATTTTGGTGGGTGACGTCTTTTACTGCACCAACAGCACGGTTGGGACAGACTAAGACGAGCTGCTCTACGACAGGTACTGCAATACCCAAGGGCATAAGCCTATCCTAACGGTACAGCGAGTCTGACAGAAAACATCACCCACTAAAGCCCTTGCCTAAAAATGCAGCACATCAATTCACCACAGGGAAGTTACACCGGATGCAGGCCCAGCCCCTAGGTTAGGCCTCGCACCTCAGCTCTGTGCATTCGCCTCATCTGCCCAGGTGCAAGTCACAGTGGTGGGGATTGCTGCCTTGGGCCATGCACTGCACCATGGCACCAGACAATGCAGCTGGCAGCTAACAAGAGGGAAGGCCAAGCCTGCCCAGGCGACCAGGGTGGGCATGTGCAAAAGGCTCCCAGAAGCCACAAGGCCAGGCAGAGCCCTCTTCCCCTTTCCCGCCAAGCACATAGCCAACCACGCAGCAGCTGCGGTCCCCAGGGCATAACGCACTGCCGGGGGACTGGGCAGAATAGCCCAGTAGCACCGCCAGGCCTAGCCCCGCCCCCCGCGGGGCCGAAGATTGGCAGAGGCATCCGCCAATCCACCTCGACGCTCCGCCCACAACCCCAGGCCCCGCCCCCTCGAACTTGGTCTACCCCGAACAGCCGCCCCATTGCCATAGCAATGAGGTGCCTCACCAGACGTGCGGCGGCTGCGGCAGGCGGTAGAAACGGGAGGCGAAGCCCAGGACGGTGACGAAGACCAGCGCGGCCCAGCCCCCGCCCACATCGCCTAGGGCGGCTAAAGCGGGCGCGGGCTCAGGGCAGCGGCTGTGCCCCTCGGCCGGCACGCGGGACTCCCGCTGCCTCAGCGCTTCGCAGCGCGGGCCCGGGTCGGCCTGGCCGCCCCGTAGCGCCCGCGGCATCCGCGACTCCACCTCAGGCCCTAGCCGGGCTCCCCCTTGCGCGGCACCACGGGAAACAGAGTCCACCCCGCAAGTCATCACGGGAGACGGCGTCGCAGGGCATGCTGGGGGATGAGTGCCTGGGCTCATCGCGGGGCATCGGGAGACTCCGCGCATGAGCGGAGAGCACCTCGTGCAAACGCCGGAGAGCTGAAGTTGGCCTGATCTGACGTCACCCGCTGCCTGGAAACCCCTGCGGGGGCGGGGGCTGCCGCGCACATTTGTTTCCCAGCAAAAAGAAAGCAGGAACTTTGCCACGGCCACGTGGCTGCGGGGAGATGGAAGCAAAAGCAAAAATGAGGTTATTGGAACTGCAAAACACTGGGTGAAAGCATTGAGCGATGTGGGGCCTTGAGACCTGTTGTCATCAGAGAAATGTGGCTCTCCCTCAGGCTCCCACAGCCTTGAGCATCTTCACCGAGCCTTCACCGACAATTATTTCCCCACCCGAGCTGATGTTTCACCAGAAGTTATTTCTATGCCCAGGCTGATGTTTTTTAGCTAGAGTTAAAAGCTGTCTGCTGATCTGTCAGCTAGGAGCAAAGTTACCTGGATGGCTGATAGCAGAATTGTAAAAAGAAAGGTCCGCTTAATTAGTGGAACATCAAGACAATTAAAGGAGAGAGCAGTTAACACCTGTCCAGTGCAGAGGTGAGGAGGAGTCAGGAAGATGATAATGAGCAGGGATCTAGGTTTTCTCTGATTTTAAATAGATTCCCAGTTTTCAGGTTAAACCTGCTCCCCCCCCCCAAAATCCACATTTTTCTATGATCAAAATGAAACACTAGTTTGTGTGTGTATGTGGACTTTGGATACCTTTTCTTAACCCAAAAATTGGGGACTTTTTTAAATCAAAGAAAACCAGGATCCCTGTTAATGAGCCATGGACTCAAATGACTCCCTCACTGCTGCCTGAATAGAAATGCTCCTGCCCCTCCTGGGAAGTTTGGTTGTAAACTCTGAGTGGAGTACAAATCAATGGAGGATGCACCTGCACTGTAGATCCCACCCCAGGCACATCCAGGCAAGGATGGATGTTTGTTTCCCCAGGGACAAGTAGCAGTGCACACCTTGTGCTGCTGCTCCTTGTCCCTGGGGAACACCCATACCACGTGTGCTCTGGCACATGGCAGTTACCCCAGTGGGGTAGGGGATGCTGGGGCCAGCAACTGTGCTGGCCCCAGCAGCCTTATCTGGGGTCCTCCTGGGACTGCATCTGCAGCAAAGAAGCCTTGCCAGCAGCTGAAGCATGCCTTCAGCTGGCCAGGCTCCAGTTTTGGGCAGTGTGCACTGCCACACTTTTTTTGGCATGGGCTTTTTTGACCCCTGGGGTCAAGAAAATGCCCGCACTGCAAGGCAGCAGTTCACGGAACACCTGCATGCATGGTGTGTGGTGCCACAGACAGGTCTGCACATACTGCACATCCACACTCATCTGGACACAGGCCCTCTGCGCAAACGTGAGTTACAATATAACCTCAGCGATAAAGGTTGTAGCCATGTTGGTCTAAGAAAGCAAGCAGTCAGTGTGCTAGAGGCAGTATCTTTTATTAGACCAACTAGACAGTTGAGAAATTAAATGTTTTCTTTATTTGCAAGCTTTCAGGCACACATGCCCATCCTCAGGTATAGGTGAATGCAAAGACTGTAAAATTTGCCCCAGGTAGAAATGAAAATTTGTATCTCACAGAGTTAGAAAGTGGAGTAAGATCAATTCCAAACAGGAATCCACAGCATCAAAACCATCCTGCCCTGCTGCGGGCTTTCCCAGTTCTCTGCAAGGGAAAAATTGCCCTAGTGTTTTTCTGTAGTTAAAAATAATACTGAAAATAAGTTGGTATTTTTGGGAGAGGAGGAGGGGCTTGACCTGATCCGGGGTGCCTCAAGTCTAAATAAGGTTAAAAACCACTGCTTTAGGAGAGCCGATGCTTACAGCTGTCAGAGAGAATCCTACAAGGGCGATGCAGCAGGTCAGACCTGCCTCTAACAGCAGCCCAGGCAGAGCCTGCCTGGTTTTACACTTGCACTTGGGTGGAACGGATCGATGTTGTTTCTTGGGCTGCGAGCAAAAAGGATGGTTTAAGTTTACAGTCTGCACTGAAGCTACAGAAGGAAAACAAGTCAGTGCATAGGAGAGATTGAAAACCTTTCCCTCCATTAATAAACCATCAAATGTAATCTTTGGGAAAGCGCTGTCCCATACAGGGTCCAACGACCTGAGGAAGCAGCTGAAACTACTCTTGCCAGAATCCCTGCAACACCCACAATAGGGCGGTAGCTTCCTCTCAGTGAGACTGGCAGCATTAGCAGACCTATAGAGAGGAAGGAAAGGAGAGAAGATTAGCCAATGTCGTATTAGCATCCAGGCAGCTGCAGATCCCTCCCTAGCGAAGAAAGAGTGGGGCTGGCAACGCAAGATGAGTGCAGCTCTGGTGAAGGTATTTACTCCAGGGGTGGAGAGCCACAACAGTGCAAGACTTCTTTTCAGCTAGGGGCTACCTGAGTCAGTGTAGGAGGGGCTTCATTCCAAACTGAGCATTTGTAAAAGCTACTGGCAAGTCTAGAAGTTCAAGGGAGGCAGGCTAGAAATGGTGAGCCATTGATTCAGTCTAAATAGTCCTGCAAGGTACAGCCCATGCATCTGTACAGTCTCATTGCCTGCACTGGAGATTTGCATAAGGGTTGGGGTCTATCCACACACAACAGCTACGAAGATCAGAGCCTATATCAGCATCTGATGTTTACATGTCTCTAGAACAGGAACAAATGCAGCTTAATATAAGGACAGCTGGAGGATGGAGAAAATGTTTGAAGCGATCCAGTTCTGTTTTGGCCTCTACATAGAGCAGGGGTGGGCAAAAGATGGCCCGCCACGCCATTCTATCTGGCCCACGGGACCGCTAAAAAATTTAGAAAATTAATATATATCTGCCCCTTGCTGCCTGTCATGCGGCCCTAGATGACTTGCCAAAACTTAGTAAGTGTCCCTCCACCCAAAATAATTGCCCACCCCTGACAGAGGCTCCTAAGGCTTCTATGACCCTGGCACCTGTTCCTGCCCAGGGCAGGGGGTTAGACCTGACGATTTGTTTAGGTCCCTTCCGACCCTAAGCACTATGATACTATGAAGGGTGATGGCAAATTTACAGGGGGGAAAGAGGAGGAGGGTAAGATGTTTGGATCAGTATTTATAGCAGCATGTACTGTAAAGGAAATGGAACTAAAGTTATCTTATCACAAGCAGCATCCTGTTTAGCCAGCTTTAACAGTGGGACCCTCTGCCGCTGCTATTGCCCATGTACTGAGCAGTCAAGAGCAGAGTAGTTTGCCCTGTTCTTGGTTATGATGCTAAATTATAAACCAGCAAACCACAGGTGGTGAGTTTAAGAAAGGGTTTCCCCTTGGGTGCACCTTATAGGAACATTCTTCCCGTAGTTCCAAGATAGCTATTGTAGCTTGGGCTATCATCTTCAGGTAATGAATGCCTACAGGGAAGTTATAGTGCAAGGGCCTAAGTAAATAGAGTGAAAGGGGCCTGGTATATGCTGGTATAGGTAGAGGCTAAGCAGAGGTGACATTTGGAGAAAAGGTTATGGAGACATGCTGACTATGGAAGCCACAGAGCCTAGGAAACAGTGCTCCATCTTGAGCTAAGAAGTTCTTACTGGGTGCATCTACATGTGCACTTTACTGCAGTTGACAAATCTGCTCTGGAGTAAAGCTTCATAGTCTATATGTGTGCCCATATTAGGGTACAGTAAATTAATTAACTCTTCCATAGGATAGTACTGCCCAGAACAAATACTATCCTATGGCAGGGTATTTACATGTGCTCAAACACAAGTGTGGACTGTGACGGGCTAGCTGGGGCACGAGTGTGCTACAGTGTGGGGGCTGCCTGCTGGCTAGTCCTGCACTGTAGCACCCTTATGCCCCATACAGCCCCTCCACCACCTGATGCCACCATCAAGCTGGGAGCTGACCCCCAGACCTCCTGCTCCGGGTCAGTTGCTCCAAGGCTCAGCATCTTCACATGTGCCTGGGACCAACATGACTCAAATTGCTTAGATCCCAAGCACATGTAGGGATGCTGTGCCTGGGAGCAGCTGTCTTTGAAGCACACTAATTTCATGTGTAGGTGCACCCACTGAGATTTAAAATGGCCCACTCAACACTAGAAGCTGTATTCTTTGTGCCTTTGTTAGATAGGTCCTTCTGCATTCTGATTCGTAACTAATAGGGCTTTCAGTCGGGCAAATGGGACTTTGTGATTACTGACCAGTGAAATGAGCTCCCAGGTACAAGTGCTACCAGGATCAGTTGGTAGTGCTTTGTTTTGATAGATTCTTCCAGCTGGATAAGTTTGAAGTTTGCAGGCATCTGTAAATTGGGCCTTCCAGCCTCTTTGTGAAGTTCCCATTTTGCATTAAAAGGTCATGTCCTTAGGCACTCTGGGGCCCAGTACCAGAGCTAGGCTTAGAACACAAGAGTCCTTACTCCCATTCCTCTACCCTGGTCTTGGTTTCTCCATTCCCACCCCTCTCTGCTCAAGAATAGGAAGAAAACTTGGAATCAAAGGTTCAAGGTTCTTCTCAGTGAAGGAGCTGAGGATTCTCCACGGTCTTTATTTGGAATCTGGTTGCACTTCTGCATATCCAGCTTGTGACTGGGAGGACTTATTTCTGGGATGTCCCATCACCTGTCCTCTCCCTGTGCGGACCAATTCCACGGTCTTTCTCCCCACTCTGGAAAGCAGTGCTGAGTAGAATTAGCACTAATTCAAGAGTCAAATTATCCCTGAGGTTAAAGTAAGTGTGACGCCTTTCTACTCCACCATGGAGGATTGGAAGATCCACTTTGAATCTGGAGTAAGCATATCTATTTTTGTGCTGAACGCAAAAGAGGGGGAAAAAACAAACTCCCATAGGTAATTAGACTAGATAAGCCAAGAAGCAGCCCCAAACCTCCATTAAACCCTTAGCCCCCAAACTAATCTGCCTCTATAACCGAACTGGAAATGCCTGCACCTTGTGCTAAGAACGGATTGACCTCAAGGGCATGTCTACCTTGCCTCCTTGTTGCTTCGGGGAGCACTGCCTTGAAGCAGGTATTGCCTGCTGGCTCTGTGCAGGCCAGATCCCCAGAATGAGTCGCTCTGGTTGTTTGGAGTAGCCCTGAGCACGTGCCAATAAGCACACCCAGGACAGAACGTAAGAGTTGTGGTAGGACATGCTCAGGACAATGCTAAGGGGACTACATGGCCTTATTTTAGTGCTCCCAGGCACAGTATGGAAGTGGTATAGCCCTGTGGTGCTTTTGTCACCCACTGGTGGAGAAGACATTCCAGAGCTGCATACCTATGACAGAGACCCTGCTTTCAACCATTCTGTGGTTGCATGAGGTTATCAACAGGAGCCACCTGCTTCCTCATTATCCCATTTCTTCTCTCCTCT